TTCGCCACTCGGTAGCCATCGATGTAGTCGTCCTCCAGAGCCCGTCTCATGATGAAGTCTACCACCGGATGGAACCTCAAAGACTCTTTGATAAAGCGCTCTAGAACGTTCAGGTTCTGCAGGTCAGCCGACTCTACATCCCGCTCGCCTGAGAGGACAAGAAAGACATCTTTTTGCATGAAAAAGGTAATGGGAAATTGAGTTAAACCAGTTTCTGATGGTTTCTAGCCAGTCCTTCTTGGACAGTGGACCAGCCAATGTCCAAGAAGGACTGGCTAGAAATCATCAGAAACTGGTTTAACTCAATTTCCCATTACCTTTTTGGTCAATCTAGGCCAATCACTTGGTCTAGATTGAACTACTAGTTGTTGGGGCCAAGACTGACCTGGTAGACCATCTTGGTCATGGCTGATTAGAGCTGGTAAGCCACCTTTACAAACTAGCTACCATGCTCCTATCACCATGTTGACCACCTTAAAGATTAACTATATAGTTTCAGATGTTAAAAGTTGTCTTGTAAATGTTTAACCATACCTATCTGAGATTGTATCTCCTGTATGATCTGCTCCTCCACGACGGAGTTCTGCTTCAGCAGGAGAAGCATGAAGAACAGACTGATGGAAAGGGTGTCTGGAGCGGCGATCACCATCTCCAGCACACATTGCCTCACGTCGTCCGCAGACAGCTCATTGTGGTTCTACAGACACGTGCAGTAAGTTAACATGTTGTGTTGCTTTAATACAGGAGATGGCACATAAATAGAGTAAGTGTTCAACACACCTGAGCAAATATCAGCTCTGTTGCGAAGTCCGTCTCATCCAGCTTCTCCATGCTATTGATGGCCTGTCGCTTTTGCTCCACAAGCTTTCCCATTTCATCCTGCAGCTCTTTTCTGCAAGAAAACACTTCTTTAACGGTGTTTATAGAGCTTTTAGTGATTTCTGAATTTATGCCACTAAATTAGACTTCACCAATCAAATTAGAGGTAATTTGCATAATCCTTAAAGGTACAGTGGCAAAAATGGCTTTTACTTCTACACGTCAAAGAGAGTCATTTTGTTATTAGTACAAAAAACCTTGACACCATACAGTACATACAAATGATAAAGTCTGAGGTGGACTCACGCTGCCAGGTGGTATTTTTTGTACACAAAGTTTAGTCTGAAGAAAACGTCTGGCTGTATGAGAACCGCCTGCCAGGTACTGAAATACCGGTGGATCTTTATCAGCAAGTCTTTCTCTGTATTGAACAAGCATAACGAAAGATGATGCTTACTGTGAAAAATTCTAATTTACAACTGCCTTTCAAGGTCATTTATATTTTATCGGAAGCAGTGTTGGGGGGACACATTACAAGTACCATGCGTTACGTAATCAGATTACTTTTTTCAAGTAACTAGTAAAATATCTGAGTTACTTTTTCAAATAAGTTTTCCCATTTACTCATTGACACATCCTTCAGCCTGAGGGTTATTCATTTCACTTTAGGTGTGAAAAGGCCTTTAAAGTTGCCAAAAATATACCTTTTGGGTTATTCTTTACTAAAAAAACAAACAAGCAAGTCCAGCCCAGGTGACAGAAAGTAATGCCATAAATGCATGTAATTCCATAAAAAGTAACTAAGTGACACAATTATTTACTTTTTATGGAGTGACACAATATTGTAATGTATTACTTTTAAAAGTAACTTTCCCCAACACCCATCAGAAGTACTAAAAATGAGAGTTTTACAGCCTTTTCCTTTGTTAATATATATAATCGAAATAATCAGATCAAAAGAACCATATATTTTTAAGAGTGCTTGTATTTCAGTCTGACCATTGAGAGGGATTCTTAGGAAGAGTCTATTGGAAACATCGACAACGATACAGCGCAGAAGATTGAGTACATCCACATGTCCCGAGTGGTCTGTGAACTCCTGCAGGACGTTAAGCTGTTTGTTGGTCGCGCTGACACACACATCTACTGATTTCTGGAGACCCGGACCTGTAAGAGCTAGAGTACACACACACATAAACAATAGATTCTGATGAATGTGTGTATGAACTGTTCTGAGACCAGTTTCAGTGAATAACACCCACCTTTGGTGAAATACGTTCTCACTTTCTTCCACAATGCGATGTTGCTGTTGAAGATAATGCCTTGTTCAAACATACCAATGCACTGCAGACCTTTTTTACTGGCAAACCTCCCAGTGTAATTATTGCTCTTCAGAACATGATACACGGCAGAGGACCTGAAACAGTTTTACATTTTTCACACTAAAAATGGTGCCTCAGGTGTTGCATTCCTCATTTGAGGCAACACTTAGTGACATAATTAGGTTGTATGGACTTGAGTAGCAGACTGTGCTAATAAAAATCATGTTTTGGCCTTATAGGGGGCGCTCTTGAGCACCTTTTTGAACCATGAAATTACTTGATCTGCAACAGCTATTCAGTAAAATTGATGATAATCAATAATGAGGATAATCAACAACAAATTTCATTATCAGTAAAGCTGCGGTGACATTGACGGTTGTTCAACAATTTTTCCCGGAAGAAATCCAGTAGAAATCAACGTAATTGGGATTTTTCCGTAAGAGCGAAAAAATCATTTGCAGAGAACCTCCATTGTTGACTAGTTGTTTTAAAGTTTTAAAATGTATACATTTGTAAATCAATTACTTTTGAAACAATTTAGTTCAAGTGGCTGTTTTTTAACGTTAATTTGAATTTTAATGAATACTTTTGTATTTTGAATTCAGTTGTGATTATTTTGGAACAAGTGGTAACATTTAAAGGGATAGTTCACCCAAAAATGAAAATTTGATGTTTATCTGCTTACCTCCAGGGCATCCAAGATGTAGGTGACTTTGTTTCTTCAGTAGAACAGTTAGACAAACACATTAAAACATTTTAGAAAAAAGTTCCATGAACAATGTAGAAATAATATTTTTGTGCTAACATTTTGAGAATATCATTCAAAACCAGATCACTTTGAACAATTATTACTGGAAGAACATTTGTTCATAACATTGTGAGAACCTTGCCAGAACATTCTGAGAATGTTCCCTTTTAGCTGAGTGAATGACGTTTATGTTTTTGAGAATTTACTTGCTAAGTATAAAGGTATCTTCTCCGTTGATCCAGACCCGAGCAATGCTGCCATATTTTTCGTTGTAGTAGTTGCATGCGGAGCCGATCCCCATCCACAGGAACCTGCTGTAGCTCATAATCGGGCCGAGACCCAACCACCAACCCGGACCTGAAAAACATGGCATCACAACCAGCATGACCAGTCGGTAGGTTGTTCCCAGTAAATCTGATTGGTTTTAACTCACCTGGGACAGCTGATTGGTTCCTCCAATTCTTGGCTGTAAATATTCTGTGCAGCAGAATCAGCAGTAACGTCCCTGTCAATGCCAGCAACGTTCCCTGCACCGCTGCGGCGATGTTTACCGTGCCCTTGACCACCTGCTCCATCATCACATCATCTGCAGACACACCCTGTGCACCTAAATATGATGAAGTACCTTAAAATGTTGGAATCGGCACTGTAGAACTGCAATAGAGTTTGCTGTTAGCAGGGGCGTAGCCATCATTTCAGAAGTGAGGGGGACAGAAATGTTTTATATATATATATATATATATATAACATTACAACATAACATTTCTGTAATCTATATAACCTACCAGTCAACAGTTTTTGAACAGTAAGATTTTTAATGTTTTATAAAGAAGTCTCTTCTGCTCACCAAGCCTGCATTTATTTGATCCAAAGTACAGCAAAAGCAGTAATAACAACGGTTTTATTCAGAGGTGTGTCTAACTGATTTATTTAAAATGTATAATTATAAAGTTATAAAGTCGGATTTGCGGGATATATACTGTGAGAAAATAAAATTGTGAGAAAATGTCAGAATTGTGAGATAAACACTCGCAATTCAGATTTTTTTCTCTTGCAATTGCAAGTTTATATCTCACAAGTATGATTTTATAACTCACAACTGATGTTTCCATGCAATTGCAAGGAAAAGTCAGAATTGTGAGATAAAAAGTCGCAATGACCTTTTTTTATTTTTATTCAGTGGCAGAAATGGGCTTCCATATAGTTAACTGAAAGTAGGCTATAAAAATAAAATGTAATTCAAAATATTAACAAAACAGTAGTTTATTAGTCATACTAAAATAACAGTGGTAAAGACATATTGCTTACTGACATATTGATACTGAATGATATTCTCGTCTAATGTCATGTGGCTTGTATGGACTATGTTTGTGATAATTTTGTGATGCTTTTTTTAAACTTGACATGCTACATGTTTTCACATTCTGTTAAATATCTAAAAAGAAGAAAGTCATACAGTTGTGGAACAACAAAGTAAACAGTCAACTGTTTCAAAAAGTCATATATTTATATGAACCATATGAAGTAAACTATCAGTATACCTATAAGTTCACTTTTAGTGTAGTTGCAGTACAAGCTAAAATTTTTGATGTAAACTAGTTGTGTACTCAACGTTTACTACTGTTATACTTAAAGTATACTTAAGTATACTTTTATGTACTAGAAAGTGGGCCAATTTAGTCCCAAGGAGTATTGAAATAGTACACTTACAAGTATACTACTAGTACACTGATATTTGTATACTTACTACATAAAGTATACTAAAAAATATACTTGAACTTGACTTAAGTATACTTACTAAAATAAACTTGAAGTATACTACTTTTTTGGTAAGGGTATATTTGGAAGCTGCTTAGAAATTTGCTCAAAAACCTGAGCGGTACTACAGTACTGGCTTATGCATTGCTTAATATTCATTAACCAAACCTGCGCCTCAATTTAAACAGCGTGACACATCAGCACACAACAACTTAACGGTCTCCGACTGATACTACCTGCAACGGCTTCATAAAATCATCTTCCACTTCCCCATACACCTGTTTGCGGTCACTTTGAATTAGGTCATCTATAGTAGTTTCGTTTAACGGAGCCTGAGAATGGAGAACTGCGGTCTTGTGTCTAAGTTCAGAACACAACGCAGAGTGAACGGTCTCTGATGCTGCAGCGGAGTTTCAACGACAGAAATCGTCTCTCTTCCTCAAACGTTAGAAACTCTCAAACATTGATTTGATCATTAAATTAGGCTTTCTTTGAAGATTTGAGACAGATTCAAAGGCAGTTGTTTCTCTGATTTTCACTTTTGAAGGTCTTCTAGTCATTTCCTCAAACGGAGCGAGAGAATGATGAACTGGGGTCTTCTCTCCGAGAAAAATGTGTCTGGTAAGTTATGAGTTCACTTGTTTACTTTTATTGTTTCCTAAATATTTCTTATTTTTTTCATATGTGTAAGAGCCAGGGTGTTAACACACAGACAAGTTAGTCGCGAGGTCTTTATCTCGGTATTACTGTAATTAAGGTGGATTTTAACCGAAAGGATGTTCATCCTATTTAGAAGTGTATTTTTCATGAATGTCATATGAAGCAAGTTGTCACATGTTCTGTTCTCCTTTGTTCACAAAATGTTAATTATATATCTATATGTTTATGTTCTTATGACAATGTAGAGAGTCTAATAAAAACTTAATCAAAGCTGTATGAGATATATTTGTGATGTTTTCTTCTGTATTAGTGATGTTTTTGTGTTGGTTTGTGTGCCTCAGTGCCTCTGAAGAGCATCTCGGTGGAGGTTCTGGTTCAGGATCATGTAGCCACAGTCTCCTCCACTCTGCAGTATGTGAATGAGGAAGAGCGCCCCCTGGAGGCCTTGTTCGTCTTCCCTCTGCCTGCTGATGCTGCTGTCTGCCACTTCAGTGCCAAGATCGGAGAGCAGGAGATTGTGGCAGAGGTGCAGGACAGAGAAACCGTGAGTCCAAATACAAACCCGCAGGACATTTATTTGCATATTCATATTACACATCACCATTTAACAAAACTATATCCTGCAGGCGAGGGATCGGTATGATGATGCTGTGAGTTCGGGTCAGCAGGCGTTTCTGTTGGAAGAGAGCGCAGAGAGTCCTGATGTGTTCAGACTGAGTGTCGGGTGTCTGTCGGCGGGTCAGAACGCTGCCGTCACCATCATCTACGTCACCGAGCTCGCTGTGCAGGCCGACCACTCGCTGCGCTTCTGTCTGCCGGCTGTACTCAACCCCCGATACACACCAGCAGGTACTGCAGCAGCTGCTGACACACACTTTATTAGAGGAGAGAAGCTGATTCTAACACACTCTGTGTGTGTGTGTGTGTGTGTGTGTGTGTGTGTGTGTGTGTGTGTGTGTCAGGTTCAGCTGCTGGTATAGTCTCAGAGATTTCATCAGGAGCTGTTCCCTACACGCTGACTCTCAGTGTTCATGTGAGCTCTCCAAAGCCCATCTCCAAACTAGAGTCCAACTGCACTCTGGATCCTCTAGTGTTCCTCCACTCTGATCACACTCAGGCTACGGTACTGTGTGACCCTGATCCGTTCTCTGGAGCAGAAGGAGAGGTCAGGTGCTGCAGATGTTGAGGGCATCAGGAGCAGGATGGTGGAGCTCAGTGTTCAGGCAGGAGTGAGCAGTGTTCATACAGCCTTCATTGCTGTGAATAAAGACAGCAGACAGACTGTGAAAGGACCCCTGCTGCAGAGAAGAGTACGGACACGCGGTTAGTGCAAGGATTGTGAACTTGTGAGGATATCTGTGTCCTTTTTTATTATAATATTACAAAATGATGTTCGTGTCACATATATTTTATATTTGCTGTGTTCAATTAATCAAAATATAAATGCTTTTTAGGGTCACAACAGTGTAATTTACAATCACAGATGAACTTGATGCGCATATCAAGTTTAATGAGTGTTCAACCATGTTTTTCAACATATGGTAAGTGCTCTGGTTGTGTGTGTATAAGTGACTTGACTATTTACTACTGCACATTTGATGTGTTCATCTTATTAGGATGTGAAATCAAATTAGATTATCACATTTTATAGATATGTGCTATATACAGAAAGTCATTGGATGCCAGTATGTGGCATTGGCTTTTGCCTGGAAAGCACCAATCACATTTTCTTCAGAAAATGTTGAAATGATAATTTCAACATACGGTTCCTTGTCATATCACAGTTTTCATTCGGTGTGTGCACTGCAGCTCATTTTGATGTGAAATGTGTTTGTTTTTTAAGATAATTAAAGGTAGGGCAGGCAATTTCAGAAAGGCTAGTGATAGCAAGTTAGCTTTGAAAGCAAGATCCCCACCCTCCCTGCGTAATCACTCTGCAAAGCCACGCCTCCTCCAAAACACATAAGCGTGCTCTGGTAGAGATGAGGCTAACCAGAGACACAATGAGAGATGGTGTTGGTGGCGTTTTAATTGCAACCCTGTCAGATTACCTCATGTCTCATTCACCGCTGAGAAAAATAATATTACGGTAATAGCGACTTTCATTCACGCTGGAACGCACTGATGACGTATCATGTCTGGGTGAACAGGGTGCACAGAGGTATGCAAACACATATTTTGAAAGGCAAGCAGGACAGCCTATCGTAATGTTCGGACCAAACATTTTGATTGGACGAACATTTTAGGGTCCTACACCTTCCACAAACGATAGTAATACATATAAATTAATTTAGACCACTTAACTTAGTGATTGCTTTCGGGATGTGAAGAGACTTTCAACCAGCATAACAAAAAATGTTTTTGAACCAAATCAACTACCCTGACTTTAATATAGGCTTCTTGGCTGTTTCTCCAGATCTGAATTTATTCTGACTTTTGGTTTCTCTGCCTGTAGACGCAAAAACTTCTCAGCCACGGGCGCATGGACGTCAGTCTAAATCACTGCTGGGTAAATGCACTTCAGTGTAATATTCATTTTGTCAAAGAGAGTAGTATGCAATGTTTGAAGAAATGATTGTTGTTTTCATGTTTTTTTTTGTTTTTTTTTACAAAACTGTTCAATTTAATTATTGGTTTACAAGCCACAAACCACAGCACTAAACAGAGAGCACTAAATGAGTCTCTGTCACTTAACAGTTAACAGGATGTGAAATTATTATTATTTTTTTAGGGAAACTGCGTCAAGCCCGGTCTAGCAATCATGGTAAGATAAATCATATTGACTACGCTTCTCTTACATGGTTTTGTGTTTGTGTTCAGTGAGCATGAGGAATCCTTTTTTGTACAGTATTAACTGGCCATCACAGAATCCAGAGCTTTGCCCTATTGAGAGCATATAGGATGTGCTAGAGTCGACTTTACAGAGTGGCTCAACTCTCCCATTATCAATACAAGAACTCGGCCAAAAATGTATGCAACTCTTGATGGAAATAAATGCTGTGATGTTGCATGACGTTGTCGAAAGAATGCCACAACGAATGGACAATATAATCAAAGCTATAGGCGGTCTAACAAAATATTAGAGAGTGCAACTTTTTTTGGACAGGCAGTTTAAAGTCAACTCCAGCACATCCCAAAGACTTTTAATAGGGTTTAGGTCAGGACTCTGTGGTGGCCAATCTCTCACAAATTGAGCCTGGTGAATCTTGGTATTGTCATCCTAGAACGTGCACAACGTGTACAGAGTGCGTCTTCCAACATTGTTGTTTGAAAAACAAAAATCTACGCACTGCATCAAAAAGAATTGTTGGCATACAACATACAAGAAACATAGGTCACTGCAATAATGATTCAATATATATACTTATATTTTTTTGTAAAAAATATATATTTTTATATTTTTTCTTATATTTATATATTTGTTATGTGGGTTATACACACACATAACAAAATTAAACATTGTTATGTGTTTAAAAAAAAAAGTTACTGGTCCAGAAATAATTTTTTTTTAATGATGTAAATGTAATTTGAATCAAAATATCAACTTCATAAATATTATTATGGGATTAATATTTTCCATAAATTTTCTTAATATACAAACGTGCAGTGTTGGAAAAAATGCAATGATTGTTTTAAAAATGAAACTAAACCGGAGTGAACCTGCCCTTGTTGAATCAATCATTCAACCAACTGACTGTCTTTATAAATGGCAAATTGAAGCATTGACTCAAAAATTTTCTCATTCAAAAATGCTGCATGTTGCTCAGAGACGGAAACAGTTCTGCTGTGTATTTGTTTTTGAACTTTTTTTGTGTTGGCAAAAGAGCAGCTACTGTCAGGATTTACTGAAGACACGCAGTGAAACATTAGGTGGGACAGTTATTCTTGCGGCTGACCTTATTGCTTATGCATTTGCTGGAGTCATCTTTCAGATGCAATGCAAACTTTATGGGAGTAGAGAATTAAATGAATCATCCAGGGTGATTTACAGTACTAAAGGTTGAGCTAGTCACTTTAACTTCACTGAGGGACCAGACAGGGATGCCCACTCTCTCCTTCTTTATTTGCCATTTTTATAGAGTCACTTGCAGCAGCAATACGACACAATAATAACATTAAAGGAATACAAGACTCAAACACACAACACAAGATATGTCTTTATGCAGATGATTTATTATGATGTTTATCCCTGTTCCAGAGCTTTTCTTGTTTGTTAGTTCTGTTGGATGTGTCTGTTTTTGGCTATTTCTCCAAATCTGAATTTCTTTTATGGAGGAGAGAATTAAATGAATCATCCAGGGTGATTTAAAGTACTAAAGGTTGAGCTAGTCACTTTACCTGTATTGTGCCATTATTTAAAACCCCAAAAAAGCAAGTCTTAAACTGTTTTGCGCTGTGTCATTAGTAGTTTACCCACACCTGATTTTCATTGGCTCTACTTGTTTGTGACCCTATGCTCATTTGCGCCGCTCTTGGTAGATTGCGCTGGTCATTATGTAAGTGATCTAACTGTGTCTGTGTTCTTTGATTTGTGCATTGTCAGTAGATCAGCCGCAGAACTTTGTGCTCCCATTAGTGCTGTTATGGGATTAAGCTTAAGCTAATTTGCCCTGCTTACTAAATCTGGTCCTTGGTTATGATATAATTAAGAAACATCACACATGTTATAAATGTGTGTGCTGTTGTGCTCATTTTTTTTTTTTTTTTTTCAATTTTTAGTTTGGGGCAGGTTTTAGCAATTTTCTTATGTGCTTTAGTCTTTAAAAATATTTCTATTTAGCTCTATATTATTATTTAGATTTATATTTATTTTGTATTTAAAAAATGTTAGTACTTCAGGTTTTGTTTCAGGTAGTTGCCAAGGCAACATTCCTTCAGTTTAAACTTTTGAACTCTAATATTTATGTTTTATTTTTTTTTTTTTTTTTTCAATGTTTAGATCTGGGCAGAAATGATGACTGCTATTCAACATTGAAGAGTAAGTGAATCAAACATACACACCAAAGGCTCTTTCACAGACTTGATTCAGGACATCGGCATTGTGGTGTACATATTTATAACTATTATGCTACATTGTGAATGAGTGAATGGCATCTAGTTACCATCTATAAAAATAAAAACATTATTTTGCCTATTTAAATTCAGATTTGTTTAAAAATGTCTCAACATTTGGCAGTACAAATGAGTGAGTACAAAGAACAGATGTTGAAAATTACAGCTTTTTGCCACTCACATCTTCTTCAGAAAATGTTAAAATCTGGTTAAAATGATGAATTTAACATACTGTAGTTCATTGTCTCTTCAGTTTTACATTAGATATGAGCAGCTCATGTTGATGTGAAATGCATTGTTTTCATTGTTTTTATATATTAATTATGGAGCCTTGCATGGTAAGATAAATAATATACTCT